AGGGTTGAAGGTTAAGGGTTTAGGGTTTATGAAACCTGGACCCAAGTTCAAACACCCAAGTTTTCAAGTGTGGGGGAACAGGATTTAGAACATTCAGGTCAGCAAGCACTTCCTCTGTGTCCTTGCGTAACATGCGCCGGAACTGCAGCAAGTCCTCCACTGGGAAGGTCTCGAACGCAGGGCTTTCATGTTTCGCGGCTTCATGTGCTTGACCTAGGAGTGTCCGCTTGGGTTGACACTCCCGGGATGCTCTGCGCTAGCACCGGTGCTTGACACAACTTGGCCGTGGGTTCTTCTTATCGTCCACCTCAATCACAACACTAACCATTACTGCAATCAATACAACCACCCTACAACCTTCAAGACTGTCGCTGCTACGCCAACCCTAAACCCTAAACCCAAACTCCTAAACTTATGCTTCTGCTTTCGATCAGTAGTCCATCCATAGCCGTCCTTGATGGTCACCGAGTTGGTGCGTCTGAAAGCTTGAATCGCTGCGACAAAGTCGTCGATGCTCAGCTTCCTTAGCAGGAATCATAGGGACGCTAAGCGGGGTAGGGGGGGGAGGCGGGTAGTTATTAGGTCCTTATCACTGGCGTTAAGGCCCCCTACCCCCCTGCCCCTTACGGGTTTCTACGAAGGAACGGGGGCCACAGAAACGAGGATCCCTGCGGGCTCTTGCTGCTCAGGTTTTCGGATCAGGAATCCGGAAGTGAAGAAACGCAGGAGATGCGAGCAAAACGGGACAGGCGTGAGATTCTGTCATAGTCTAGGGAGCCTCAAGTCCCCCACAGGTAAAAGCCAGGGATGTCTTATTCAGATGCCCCTAACCCTAAACCTTACAGCCTCTACTCCGGTGGCACGGTCCTAAACCCCTAAACCCTAAACCCTAAACCCTCAACCCTAAACCCTAAACCCTCAACCCTCAACCCTAAACCCTAAACTCTCAACCCTAAACCCTCAACCCTAAACCCGCTCCAAGACACTCCTGCCCGTTGAACAGCAGCTCCTGGGAAGGATGGCCAAGTCTACCCCAAAACCTAAACTTTAAGGTAGCATAGGGTTTTGTGGGGGTTCCATAAAGGGTTCTATAAGGTCTACTATAAGCGTTTAGGGTTTAGGGGCCTTAATAATTAGAATATAGGGTTTTGGGGCCCATTTGTACTATAGTTATAATAAGGAGCCCCTCAAAAAAATATGAGTAATTATCTAGGCCCCTACCTTGTTGGGCTTGCAGGATTCAGTGTTTCTCCAAATTGCCAATGGTCTGGGACGACGGAGCTTCTGAGTGAAGGGCTGCCGGCTTGGGGGTTGGGGCTCTTCAGTTCCCAATAGGATTTAGGGTTTCAGGTTTAGGGTTTAGGGTTTCAAGTTGAGGGTGCAGGGTTTCAGGTTTAGGGTGTACGGTTTAGGGTTTCAAGTTGAGGGTGTAGGGTTTCAGGTTTCCGGGTTTAGGGTTCAGGGTTCGGGGTTTAGGGTTTAGGGTTTGGGGTTCAAGGTTTAGACGACATCCTAAATCTTCGATTCTGGTCCCTTACCCCAGATCTTACAGCCTACGAATCAGATCCCTAAACTCCATACTCTTCTAGCAGTCCACACCCTGCACTGTCCGAATGTCCCGGGAACAGCAGCAAAGGACCAGGTGGCTCCCCAGACCACAAAAAGCCAAGAGTCCAAAATGCTCGCCACAGTGTTTCGGGAACACGATGCACCGCACCGTGGTGCCAGCATGATTCACTAAGTTCGGTCCCTAAACCCTAAACCCTAAACCCTTAAACCCTAAAACCCTAAACCCTAAAGCCTAAACCCTAAACCTAAGTTCGGTGGTGCTAAAGTATTTGGCTCTGCACATGGGTGTCCAGGTCGGGCGGCCTAAGCAGGACTTTCGAAAGAGTGCGATTTGGTCGAAAATGCGCACCGCGCCGAGACATGGAAACCGAAGAAGCCCTAGGAAAACCTTGAAGAAGCCCAAGAACCTTCGACCACGTAAAGAATCCTACTTATAAGCAAGCCGAACCATAAACCCTAAACTCTAGACTCTGAACCCTAAACCATCATAAACCCTAAGCCCTAAACTCGAAAGTGCCAACCCTAAACCATCCTAGACCCGAAGCTCTAAACCCTCAGCCCCAAACTCTAAACCTCGCCGTGGCGCGGCTTCGCTGACCAGGGCCGTGACGTCGATATCGGCCTCGTGCAGAGCCTTCCTCGGGGTCACACTGGGCCAGACGAAGAAAAGGTAAACCTACATATGTGTATGGTATGACGGTTTAGGGTTTAGGCTTTGCATGCATGTATGTATGTATGTATGTATGTAGGTATGTATGTCTGTACGTATGTATAGAATCCTTTCACTTAATTCCTGGGTCCTCCAAGGACAGCGGGCTGTTGAAATCCGTTAACGTTCTTCTTCGAAAGCCGAGGAATTTGTCTCTCAAGATAATTGGGTCCAGGATTCTAGAAATACTTCCTTGTAGGAGACTCTTAGGAGACCATCACGGAAGACACAACATCTGAAAGAAGCCGCACGTCCAAAAAGCCCCCAAACCTTCAACTCCAAGCCACAAGCCCCAAATTCTACTGAAAAGCCTTGGACCCTGAAAGCTGTAAACCCGAAAACTCTTTTCTGCAACTTCCGAAGGAAGCAGGCTCGAGGTAATGGTGCGATTGGTGTTTATAGTATATAGGGCTTCCATGGGGGTGCTACAGATAATAACAAGAAACGTAATCATAGTTCATACTCATAATCATAAAAATCATGAGAATAACAATAATACTGACAATCGTAGTAGGACTCAATACTATATGAGCCTTGTGGGGTGCAATTCCTCAACAACTTAGCATTCAGGGCTTGTGTAAACTTTGTATGTATATATATATATATATACACACATAAATACTGTGCGACTATAACCATCACTGGTCTAAGATATGCAGTACCCCGACACCCCCCCCCCAGGCTCTGAACCCTAAAGCGCCGAGCCCAAAAGCCTAAACCTCAAAGCTAAACCCAGAGTACCCTGAACCCCAGAGACCGAAAATCAATCACTGAATCCCCAAACCCTTTTGTGAAACTTAGCCTAAACCCTCTTGACTTTAAGCTCCAACCTTCTGCAGATCCGCCAAGCTGCACCATTCCGGGCTGTTTCACCAAACGGCTGAACTCTTCGATATCGACCTCGCTAGTCGGCTTAACGCATTGGGCTTAGGGTTTCGCATTATAAAACAGGGGCCTTCATAATTGGAACAGGGTTTTGGGACATAGTATAAGATCATTAATAAGGAGCCTCCAAAAATAGTATTGGTAATTCCTTTAGGATAACTATAATAAAGAAGCCCAAAAATAGTATTGGTAATTATTTAGGCCCCTACATTAATACAACTTTAAAAAAGGAACCCCCACCCCCCACCCCCAACAAAAAACAAATAATATTGGTGACTATGGACGCCCTTATGTTAGAGCCTTTTGGCTGCAGGTTTTTCTTTTTGCACCTGACAGGATCTACCCCTCCTTGCTCCTAACCCCAAGCCCAACCCTAGCCCTTGTCCATTTTGTGGGCTCCTGAATATAGTTATATTGAAGATAACCCCCAAACCCCTGTTCCAATTATGAAGGCCCTGTTGTATACTGGCCATGTTGTCAGTGCTTCTGAGGGTGTTTTTTATCCAGAGTTTCGGGATACACATCCGAGCATGAACAGTGGGAACTGAAATAAACTACCGGCGATTGTGCGGGCCTCCCTGCTGCTCCGAAGGCCCTAAAGCGCTCCAGTTTCCGAAATGGTGGTTTAAGGGTTTGGGGTTCAGGGTGTAGGGCTGCTAGTCATACGCAGCCCTGGACATACAAACCACGTCAATATGTCACTAAGTCAGGCAACCACATGGCCACCAGTGCATGTAATATGAAGGCCTAAATAATTACCAAAATTATCCCTTAGGGCTCCTTATTAAGTTATAAGCATACCACAATGCTCCCACAACCCTGTTAACTTAATCTTAGGGCCCCTTATTATAATTGCAACATAATGTTCCCCCAAAGCCCTATTAACTTCTTAAGTTATAAGTATACCATATAAGTGCTCCCCCCAAAACCCTATTAACTGCTTAAGTTATAAGTATACCATATAAATGCTCCCCCAACGCCCTATTAACTTCTTAAGGCCCCTACATTGAAGCCCGAAACCTCGACCCTCGGGCGTCCGCTCCCTCAACTCCAAACCCGACAAGTTTTGGGGCTTAGAGTTTCAATGTAGGGTTTAGAGTTTAGGGGGCTTAGAGTTTCAATTTAGGGTTTAGGGTTTAGGGGGCTCAGAGTTTCAATTTAGGGTTTAGGGTTGAGTTTAGGGAGCTTAAAGTTTCAGATCAAAAACCCGAACAACAACAGCCACAAAACCTCAAGGTGAAGAGTTTAGGATAGCGTTTAGGACTTAGGGCCTTAGGGCTCCGGGATTTTAAGGCGTATGGCTTAGGAGCTGAAGGTTTAGGTTTTACCGAAACGTTCACTCGGGCCCCGGCGTTGCCATCGTTGTTTGAATCCAACTTGGTCACGATTTGGATGGTACTCGGCGGCGAGGGTTGGGGGTCTCCCCAGTTGTTCACCGAGACACTAAACATTTTCTTTTCTTGCGGCTGTAGTAAGTTATTATGTCCGCAAGAATGCCTCTTTGGATTTAGGGCTGATGGCTTTAGTTCGGGACTTGACGAAGTTGTGGGGCAATCCTTGTATAGACCGGGGTGAGTGGGGTCTGGAGTACATCCAATATAACTTACGTAACATGCTGTTTCCAAAGCACCGGCATAACTCTGCACAACCAGGAGGTTTTCGGGTTTAGGATAGTGCGGAGTAGTTTTGTAGTCGACAGTTCGGAGCGTATATGCCTATGAGTTTTTGGACTAATCGTAGACCCAGGTTTGCAACGCCCCCTCAATACTGTCGGGGCACATGAGGCATGCATGAAGTCCTAAACCAAGCACCCCTCACCCCATCTTGTTCTCTCCCCAAAGGGTCCAAAGTACCTATGGAGTAGAATGTAGGGCTTCTATATCACGAATCCTTAGTATGATTTGGGAAGTATCCCCCGTAACAGTACCTACCAACTTTGGGCTCAAGCTGTTCATGATCTAATCTACACAGAGGGACCCAGGAACCCCAACCCAACAGCCTTAACCACCTATAGCCGAAACCCTAAACCCTAAACCCTAAACCCTAAACCCCAACCCAACAGCCTTAACCACCTAAAGCCGAAACTATGAAACCCCGAAACCCGAGCTGAAACCCTGATCCGACGCGCATAACCCTCTGCAACACTACACTCACGGGTGGTTGTCAAAATTATGGTCCCGTTTTGGGTCCTTATTATAATACGGCACCTAATATTTAGGGTACCCAAAAAGGGACCCTAATTTTGACAACCACCCTCATGAACCCTGCGCCCCACCGACCCACCCTGCCCAAAGCAAAGAAGTTTTCAATGCGAGGTGCTGGTCGCGCAGGAATGTGGCCGTAAGCGCGTCGTTTTCACACTGCGATAGAACTTGTAGCACCTCACGAGGCTTTTCCTCCTGTTTTGCAAAGGTGCCATGACGAGTTCACAGTATGGGCAGAAAGTCTGGAACTGGTCGTTTTAAGAAGGTATAGCTTGTTATGGAGGCCTTACCAAGGAATGATGCTGCTGCCACCTCACAACACGATTTCGCTACCTGTTGTGTTGTCTAGCGTTTGTCGGTCCAGGAACTTAGATGGTTGTGGATTTAGTGTTTGAGGTTTAGGATGCAGGGGTTTCGGGCATTTGCAAAAGGTAAGGAGAGAACAGAGAACAGTAGAGGTATCACCAACTACTGAGCTTTTGTTGCCGAGCTTGCAAATGCAAGTTGCCATACTAAGCTGGGCTCGATGAGAGCTAGTAAGTTGAAGCTTGTGTTGACGAATCGCGGTAATGCATATTAAGTAACTTGAACAAGAGCTCAGACAAGGACTCACCCTGTGCCAGAAAGAAACACAGCCTTCAATATGTCGCGTGTGTGTGTGTGTGTGTGTGTGTGTGTGTATGTGTGTGTGTGTGTGTGTCTGTGTGTGTGTGTGTGCGCAACCCAGTAAACTATTATTCAATCAATAAACGAGGGTGGGTGGAGCACAGGGCAAGGCTGAAAGACTTGGTTTAATGAGGACTCTTCAGCAGCTCTAAGCTCGCGGATCAGAGCTTAGAGGGTTTCAAAGGGTTTCTGTTTCTGAAGCTTCGGTTTCTACGAGTGAATCTTGAAGGGGTTCAGGGCTTTAGGGTTCGCAAAAGGTTGAGGGTCTATAAAGGTTTAGGGTTCAGGGTT